ATTGTGTCGATCATCGGGACAGGTTGAGGGTAGATATTATGGAATCGTGTGAGTGTTTCCAGGCCTGGTATGGAAAGCCCGATGTTGAGGATGATAGTCAAACTGAGCAGAATAAGGACGACAACGATAAGATGAGCATATGATAGAAAAGCGTACTTTCTTTTCTGTTCCACTGCTTCAACCTCATGCAGTATGGTCTTGTTGGTCGGACCGGTCCGACCAAACGGTCCGACCAAAGTGGCTTGGTGTGAGGGTTTCACGTCAAGGGGGCTTAGGCAAAGTATTCAAGTAAATTGTATCGTTGGGCTAAGTCTACACTAGATTCGGTATACAAGACGTAGCGCAAGGAAGCAAGAGAAACGTTGAAAAAGCAGCTTCCTTGCAATCAAAATAAGAAAGGAGTATCACGTGCGCACGCACGTGATACCCTCGACAAGCATCAACGTTGGTTCGTGACACTTGGTCTGGTCTGGTCTGAACCCCCAGACCAGACCAGACCAGACCATTCCGATCACTGTGCAACACACTGGGTGTGATGTCGGATAATGCCTTTGTAGACTGAAGTCTCCTAGCCTGGTGTAATTGGTGGTTGCCATAGCGTCGACTATTCTGACTAAACTTAGCCGAAAAACAGATTTGGACGAAAGGAAGTTTCTTGGTATTTAAAAGTGTTGACCTGGTACGAGTCATGTACTAAGCATGACGTGCAGAAGAGTTGCTGCCTAGTTGCACGGACCGTGCCACTAGGTATTTATATGTATGAGAGCTGTCAGCCAGAATTTAATAGAAGCAAGTTCAATCACAACAGTAATCACAACATGTCGCGTTTTGAGATGTGTAACAAAAGATAGGTGCAGATAGAGTCTGTAGCACGCAAAGAACAAGAAGAAGAAAGAAAAAAATATGAAAAAAACTTAGTTACCAACGGGTCTCGTAACGTGACAATCCTAATCGTACCTTATGGAAAACTGAGATATTGCAGCAGCAGCTGCCTAACTTGTCAAAGATTTCTTTTTATATAAAGAGCTCCGCGGGTCTTCTGCAACTCTTACTGGGTTTTTGCTCCTTGGATGATTCTTATTTTGTACAATCGGCGCCTTCGGTGTAACGGTCCAAGCTGAGTATATTGACAACTAGCTAAGCGGCTACTACGAGTATCTAAACGCTAAAGAAGAAAGAGAAAAGAAAACAAGAAGAGGAAAGTCGACGCGTCGTTGATCTCGCTTGTCGATGGGTCCCGGCCGGCAGGCCGGGGCCAAAGGCGAGAGTGCAAGCCGAGTCACACCGGTCTCAGCCCGTTACACTCGGCACCATTATACTCAATCTTTTGTGGCCCCATAATTGTCTGACAAGCTGTTGACTTGGGTGACCTTAGGACGAGAAACAACCATCCTGTATTTCATGAGACAGTCATGAATATATAGGAATTGAAACAGGACAACGCGGCAGTTCTAGAAGAACGATGGCTTTGTAAGAACGCGGTATTCAACATACTCCTCACCGTCAATATGGATAATTGTACCCTGTGATACAAGCTTTCCCATGAAAGACCCAGTCGCCTTTCGCTCATATTTGACGCCGTCATGAATCTTGGCATCATATAACCTACTCTTCACACGGGGCATCTCCTGTCGTGCCCATACCTTGTTCAGTCGTTGCACACCCTCGGACTCGCGGAAGAGAACCCCACCATTGGTATGGTGATGGTACTCAGGAGGCACAATGAAAGCTGCTTCTGCAGTGGCAGCGGCAGCAGCCGCTGTGCGCTCTCTGTTGATGGCATGACGATCTGTCCGGACTTGGGCAGCTCCAGACTTCGCCATTTCACGATGTGCTAGAGTGTTGGTCCTTTCCACATCGTCTATATTTTCGGCTTTTCTGGGGCGAAGTTCATTCTTG